CACGGTTTTCCATGATTCAGACGGTTGAGTTTCATGTGTTGATGCTGGGGTCCTGGAGTATGCTGTCGATGCCTCATTTACAGCTGAGGTGTAGAAGGTCTCAGGAGGTACAGTTGTCTCTGTTGAAATGGAGGGGGATGTGAGGATAGTGGATTCCTGAGTGAAGACTCTTGGGGGTGTCTCAGTTGCTTGAGATGTTTGGGTAGAAATTGGGATGGATGGGGAGGTTGTAGAGTCCTGAGTAAGAGCTGAGGTGTAGGGGGTTTCAGGAGTTACAGCCGTTTCTGTGGAAATTGTGCTGGTTGTGGAGGTTGTAGATTCCTGAGTGAAGACTGTTGTTTGAGGGGTTGGAGTAGTGTGAGTTGCTTGTGACAGACTTGGGCTGCTCTGGGAGGCTGTAGATGACTCAGTGTGGACTGTGGTGTGAGTGATCTGAGGAGGTCCAGTGGTTTCTGTCAACACTGGGCTGCTAGAGAAGGTTGTGGGTTCCAGAGTGAAGTCGGTTGTTGGGAATGACTCTGTGGGTTGAGATCTCTGTGTTGAAATTGAGCTGCTCATGGAGGTTGTAGAGGCCTCAGTATGGACTGTGGTGGGGGAGCTCTCAGGAGGTACGACTGTTTCTGAAGAAACTGAGTTGGTTGCGAAGGTCGTAGACTCAAGAGTGAATACTACTGGGGATGTCTCAGTACCTTGAGTATCTTGTGTGGAAAACCGGCTGCCTGGGGTAGTTGTAGAGGCCTCAGATTGGGGTGTGATGTGGGTGACCACAGGAGAGACAGCAGTTTCTGGGGAAATAGAGCTGCTTGGAAAGGTTGTGGATTCCTGAGTGAAGACTGTTGCTTGAGAGGTGTCAGGGGCCTGAGTTGCTTGGGATATTGTAGATGCCTCAGTCAGGGATGAAGTGTGGGTGACATCAGGAGGTACAGAGGTTTCTGAGGAAATTGAGCTCCTTGGCGAGGTTGTAGATTCCTGCGTGAACTCTGTTTTGGAGGTTTCCGTTGGTTGAGATCCATGTGTTGCAATTGAGCTGCTTGGGGAGGTTGTAGAGGCCTCAGTTTGGACGGTGCTCGAGCTCTCAGGAGGTGCAGCACTCTCTGTTGACATTGAGGTGCTTAGTAAAGTTGAAGATTCCTGAGTGAAAGCTGTTTTTTGGGAAGTCTCAGTTGCTTGTGTAGAAATCAAGCTGTTCAAGGTGGTTGTGTAGGCCTCAGTCTGTCCTGTAGTGGGTAAGGTGACAGGAGGCACAGCTGTTTCTGTAGAATCTGAGCTGCTTTGAAAGGTTGTAGATTCCTGAGTGAAGGCTGTTGTTTCAGAGTTCTGAGGGCCTTGAGTTGCTTGTGTCGATGTTGGGATGCTTAGGGATGTGGTAGATGCCTCAGTCAGGGCTGACGTGTGGGTGACATCAGGAGGTACAGAAGTTCCTGATGAAATTAAGCTGCTTGGAGAGGTTGTAGATTCCTGAGTGAACTCTGTTTTGGAGGTTTCAGTGGGTTGAGTTGCATGTGCTGAAATTGAGATGCTCAGGGAGGTTGTAGGTGCCTCAGGTTGGACAGTACTGGGGGAACTCTCAGCAGGTACAGCTGTTTCTAGGGAAACTGAGCTGCTGGGGAAGGTTGCAGACCTCTGAGTAGATACAGTTTCCATAGAGTCTGTTGCCTGACTTGCATGGGTTGAAATCAGTTTGCTTGGGGATGTTGTAGATTCCTGAGTGAACACTGTTGTCTGAGAGGTCTCAAAAGCTTCAGTTGACTGTGTCAATGTTGGACTTCTTAGGGATGTTGTAGAAGCCTCAGTCAGGGCTGAGGTGTGGGTGACATCAGGAGGTACAGTGGTTTCTGTGGAAACTGAACTGCTTGGCAAGTTTGTCGAATCCTGAGTGAAGGTTGTTGTTTGAGATGGCTCAGTTGTTTGAGTTGCTGTTGTTGAAATCATGCTTCTCTGGGAGGTTGTGTGTGTCCCAGTCTGGGCTGTAGTGAGTGAGGTGTCAGGAGGAATAGCTGTATCTGTGAACATTGAGCTCCCTGAGAAGGTTGTAGACTTGTGAGTAAATATTGTGTTGGTGGGCTCTGTTGCTGGAGTTGAATGTGTTGAAATTGGGCTCCTTTGGGAAGTTGTAGATTCCAGAGTGGACACGGTTTTCCATGATTCAGATGGTTGAGATTCATGTGTTGACACTGGGGTCCTTGAGTAAGGTGTAGATGCCTCATTTACAGCTGAGGTGTAGAAGGTCTCAGGAGGTACAGTTGTCTCTGTTGAAATGGAGGGGGATGTGAGGATAGTAGATTCCTGAGTGAAGACTCTTGGGGGTGTCTCAGTTGCTTGAGATGTTTGGGTAGAAATTGGGATGGATGGGGAGGTTGTAGAGTCCTGAGTAAGAGCTGAGGTGTAGGGGGTTTCAGGAGTTACAGCCGTTTCTGTGGAAATTGTGCTGGTTGTGGAGGTTGTAGATTCCTGAGTGAAGACTGTTGTTTGAGGGGTTGGAGTAGTGTGAGTTGCTTGTGACAGACTTGGGCTGCTCTGGGAGGCTGTAGATGACTCAGTGTGGACTGTGGTGTGAGTGATCTGAGGAGGTCCAGTGGTTTCTGTCAACATTGGGCTGCTAGAGAAGGTTGTGGGTTCCAGAGTGAAGTCGGTTGTTGGGAATGACTCTGTGGGTTGAGATCTCTGTGTTGAAATTGAGCTGCTCATGGAGGTTGTAGAGGCCTCAGTATGGACTGTGGTGGGGGAGCTCTCAGGAGGTACGACTGTTTCTGAAGAAACTGAGTTGGTTGCGAAGGTCGTAGACTCAAGAGTGAATACTACTGGGGATGTCTCAGTACCTTGAGTATCTTGTGTGGAAAACCGGCTGCCTGGGGTAGTTGTAGAGGCCTCAGATTGGGGTGTGATGTGGGTGACCACAGGAGAGACAGCAGTTTCTGGGGAAATAGAGCTGCTTGGAAAGGTTGTGGATTCCTGAGTGAAGACTGTTGCTTGAGAGGTGTCAGGGGCCTGAGTTGCTTGGGATATTGTAGATGCCTCAGTCAGGGATGAAGTGTGGGTGACATCAGGAGGTACAGAGGTTTCTGAGGAAATTGAGCTCCTTGGCGAGGTTGTAGATTCCTGCGTGAACTCTGTTTTGGAGGTTTCCGTTGGTTGAGATCCATGTGTTGCAATTGAGCTGCTTGGGGAGGTTGTAGAGGCCTCAGTTTGGACGGTGCTCGAGCTCTCAGGAGGTGCAGCACTCTCTGTTGACATTGAGGTGCTTAGTAAAGTTGAAGATTCCTGAGTGAAAGCTGTTTTTTGGGAAGTCTCAGTTGCTTGTGTAGAAATCAAGCTGTTCAAGGTGGTTGTGTAGGCCTCAGTCTGTCCTGTAGTGGGTAAGGTGACAGGAGGCACAGCTGTTTCTGTAGAATCTGAGCTGCTTTGAAAGGTTGTAGATTCCTGAGTGAAGGCTGTTGTTTCAGAGTTCTGAGGGCCTTGAGTTGCTTGTGTCGATGTTGGGATGCTTAGGGATGTGGTAGATGCCTCAGTCAGGGCTGACGTGTGGGTGACATCAGGAGGTACAGAAGTTCCTGATGAAATTAAGCTGCTTGGAGAGGTTGTAGATTCCTGAGTGAACTCTGTTTTGGAGGTTTCAGTGGGTTGAGTTGCATGTGCTGAAATTGAGATGCTCAGGGAGGTTGTAGGTGCCTCAGGTTGGACAGTACTGGGGGAACTCTCAGCAGGTACAGCTGTTTCTAGGGAAACTGAGCTGCTGGGGAAGGTTGCAGACCTCTGAGTAGATACAGTTTCCATAGAGTCTGTTGCCTGACTTGCATGGGTTGAAATCAGTTTGCTTGGGGATGTTGTAGATTCCTGAGTGAACACTGTTGTCTGAGAGGTCTCAAAAGCTTCAGTTGACTGTGTCAATGTTGGACTTCTTAGGGATGTTGTAGAAGCCTCAGTCAGGGCTGAGGTGTGGGTGACATCAGGAGGTACAGTGGTTTCTGTGGAAACTGAACTGCTTGGCAAGTTTGTCGAATCCTGAGTGAAGGTTGTTGTTTGAGATGGCTCAGTTGTTTGAGTTGCTGTTGTTGAAATCATGCTTCTCTGGGAGGTTGTGTGTGTCCCGGTCTGTGCTGTCGTGAGTGAGGTGTCAGGAGGAATAGCTGTATCTGTGAACATTGAGCTCCCTGAGAAGGTTGTAGACTTGTGAGTAAATATTGTGTTGGTGGGCTCTGTTGCTGGAGTTGAATGTGTTGAAATTGGGCTCCTTTGGGAAGTTGTAGATTCCAGAGTGGACACGGTTTTCCATGATTCAGATGGTTGAGATTCATGTGTTGACACTGGGGTCCTTGAGTAAGGTGTAGATGCCTCATTTACAGCTGAGGTGTAGAAGGTCTCAGGAGGTACAGTTGTCTCTGTTGAAATGGAGGGGGATGTGAGGATAGTAGATTCCTGAGTGAAGACTCTTGGGGGTGTCTCAGTTGCTTGAGATGTTTGGGTAGAAATTGGGATGGATGGGGAGGTTGTAGAGTCCTGAGTAAGAGCTGAGGTGTAGGGGGTTTCAGGAGTTACAGCCGTTTCTGTGGAAATTGTGCTGGTTGTGGAGGTTGTAGATTCCTGAGTGAAGACTGTTGTTTGAGGGGTTGGAGTAGTGTGAGTTGCTTGTGACAGACTTGGGCTGCTCTGGGAGGCTGTAGATGACTCAGTGTGGACTGTGGTGTGAGTGATCTGAGGAGGTCCAGTGGTTTCTGTCAACATTGGGCTGCTAGAGAAGGTTGTGGGTTCCAGAGTGAAGTCGGTTGTTGGGAATGACTCTGTGGGTTGAGATCTCTGTGTTGAAATTGAGCTGCTCATGGAGGTTGTAGAGGCCTCAGTATGGACTGTGGTGGGGGAGCTCTCAGGAGGTACGACTGTTTCTGAAGAAACTGAGTTGGTTGCGAAGGTCGTAGACTCAAGAGTGAATACTACTGGGGATGTCTCAGTACCTTGAGTATCTTGTGTGGAAAACCGGCTGCCTGGGGTAGTTGTAGAGGCCTCAGATTGGGGTGTGATGTGGGTGACCACAGGAGAGACAGCAGTTTCTGGGGAAATAGAGCTGCTTGGAAAGGTTGTGGATTCCTGAGTGAAGACTGTTGCTTGAGAGGTGTCAGGGGCCTGAGTTGCTTGGGATATTGTAGATGCCTCAGTCAGGGATGAAGTGTGGGTGACATCAGGAGGTACAGAGGTTTCTGAGGAAATTGAGCTCCTTGGCGAGGTTGTAGATTCCTGCGTGAACTCTGTTTTGGAGGTTTCCGTTGGTTGAGATCCATGTGTTGCAATTGAGCTGCTTGGGGAGGTTGTAGAGGCCTCAGTTTGGACGGTGCTCGAGCTCTCAGGAGGTGCAGCACTCTCTGTTGACATTGAGGTGCTTAGTAAAGTTGAAGATTCCTGAGTGAAAGCTGTTTTTTGGGAAGTCTCAGTTGCTTGTGTAGAAATCAAGCTGTTCAAGGTGGTTGTGTAGGCCTCGGTCTGTCCTGTAGTGGGTAAGGTGACAGGAGGCACAGCTGTTTCTGTAGAATCTGAGCTGCTTTGAAAGGTTGTAGATTCCTGAGTGAAGGCTGTTGTTTCAGAGTTCTGAGGGCCTTGAGTTGCTTGTGTCGATGTTGGGATGCTTAGGGATGTGGTAGATGCCTAGTCAGGGCTGACGTGTGGGTGACATCAGGAGGTACAGAAGTTCCTGATGAAATTAAGCTGCTTGGAGAGGTTGTAGATTCCTGAGTGAACTCTGTTTTGGAGGTTTCAGTGGGTTGAGTTGCATGTGCTGAAATTGAGATGCTCAGGGAGGTTGTAGGTGCCTCAGGTTGGACAGTACTGGGGGAACTCTCAGCAGGTACAGCTGTTTCTAGGGAAACTGAGCTGCTGGGGAAGGTTGCAGACCTCTGAGTAGATACAGTTTCCATAGAGTCTGTTGCCTGACTTGCATGGGTTGAAATCAGTTTGCTTGGGGATGTTGTAGATTCCTGAGTGAACACTGTTGTCTGAGAGGTCTCAAAAGCTTCAGTTGACTGTGTCAATGTTGGACTTCTTAGGGATGTTGTAGAAGCCTCAGTCAGGGCTGAGGTGTGGGTGACATCAGGAGGTACAGTGGTTTCTGTGGAAACTGAACTGCTTGGCAAGTTTGTCGAATCCTGAGTGAAGGTTGTTGTTTGAGATGGCTCAGTTGTTTGAGTTGCTGTTGTTGAAATCATGCTTCTCTGGGAGGTTGTGTGTGTCCCGGTCTGTGCTGTCGTGAGTGAGGTGTCAGGAGGAATAGCTGTATCTGTGAACATTGAGCTCCCTGAGAAGGTTGTAGACTTGTGAGTAAATATTGTGTTGGTGGGCTCTGTTGCTGGAGTTGAATGTGTTGAAATTGGGCTCCTTTGGGAAGTTGTAGATTCCAGAGTGGACACGGTTTTCCATGATTCAGATGGTTGAGATTCATGTGTTGACACTGGGGTCCTTGAGTAAGGTGTAGATGCCTCATTTACAGCTGAGGTGTAGAAGGTCTCAGGAGGTACAGTTGTCTCTGTTGAAATGGAGGGGGATGTGAGGATAGTAGATTCCTGAGTGAAGACTCTTGGGGGTGTCTCAGTTGCTTGAGATGTTTGGGTAGAAATTGGGATGGATGGGGAGGTTGTAGAGTCCTGAGTAAGAGCTGAGGTGTAGGGGGTTTCAGGAGTTACAGCCGTTTCTGTGGAAATTGTGCTGGTTGTGGAGGTTGTAGATTCCTGAGTGAAGACTGTTGTTTGAGGGGTTGGAGTAGTGTGAGTTGCTTGTGACAGACTTGGGCTGCTCTGGGAGGCTGTAGATGACTCAGTGTGGACTGTGGTGTGAGTGATCTGAGGAGGTCCAGTGGTTTCTGTCAACATTGGGCTGCTAGAGAAGGTTGTGGGTTCCAGAGTGAAGTCGGTTGTTGGGAATGACTCTGTGGGTTGAGATCTCTGTGTTGAAATTGAGCTGCTCATGGAGGTTGTAGAGGCCTCAGTATGGACTGTGGTGGGGGAGCTCTCAGGAGGTACGACTGTTTCTGAAGAAACTGAGTTGGTTGCGAAGGTCGTAGACTCAAGAGTGAATACTACTGGGGATGTCTCAGTACCTTGAGTATCTTGTGTGGAAAACCGGCTGCCTGGGGTAGTTGTAGAGGCCTCAGATTGGGGTGTGATGTGGGTGACCACAGGAGAGACAGCAGTTTCTGGGGAAATAGAGCTGCTTGGAAAGGTTGTGGATTCCTGAGTGAAGACTGTTGCTTGAGAGGTGTCAGGGGCCTGAGTTGCTTGGGATATTGTAGATGCCTCAGTCAGGGATGAAGTGTGGGTGACATCAGGAGGTACAGAGGTTTCTGAGGAAATTGAGCTCCTTGGCGAGGTTGTAGATTCCTGCGTGAACTCTGTTTTGGAGGTTTCTGTTGGTTGAGATCCATGTGTTGCAATTGAGCTGCTTGGGGAGGTTGTAGAGGCCTCAGTTTGGACGGTGCTCGAGCTCTCAGGAGGTGCAGCACTCTCTGTTGACATTGAGGTGCTTAGTAAAGTTGAAGATTCCTGAGTGAAAGCTGTTTTTTGGGAAGTCTCAGTTGCTTGTGTAGAAATCAAGCTGTTCAAGGTGGTTGTGTAGGCCTCGGTCTGTCCTGTAGTGGGTAAGGTGACAGGAGGCACAGCTGTTTCTGTAGAATCTGAGCTGCTTTGAAAGGTTGTAGATTCCTGAGTGAAGGCTGTTGTTTCAGAGTTCTGAGGGCCTTGAGTTGCTTGTGTCGATGTTGGAATGCTTAGGGATGTGGTAGATGCCTCAGTCAGGGCTGACGTGTGGGTGACATCAGGAGGTACAGAAGTTCCTGATGAAATTAAGCTGCTTGGAGAGGTTGTAGATTCCTGAGTGAACTCTGTTTTGGAGGTTTCAGTGGGTTGAGTTGCATGTGCTGAAATTGAGATGCTCAGGGAGGTTGTAGGTGCCTCAGGTTGGACAGTACTGGGGGAACTCTCAGCAGGTACAGCTGTTTCTAGGGAAACTGAGCTGCTGGGGAAGGTTGCAGACCTCTGAGTAGATACAGTTTCCATAGAGTCTGTTGCCTGACTTGCATGGGTTGAAATCAGTTTGCTTGGGGATGTTGTAGATTCCTGAGTGAACACTGTTGTCTGAGAGGTCTCAAAAGCTTCAGTTGACTGTGTCAATGTTGGACTTCTTAGGGATGTTGTAGATGCCTCAGTCAGGGCTGAGGTGTGGGTGACATCAGGAGGTACAGTGGTTTCTGTGGAAACTGAACTGCTTGGCAAGTTTGTCGAATCCTGAGTGAAGGTTGTTGTTTGAGATGGCTCAGTTGTTTGAGTTGCTGTTGTTGAAATCATGCTTCTCTGGGAGGTTGTGTGTGTCCCGGTCTGTGCTGTCGTGAGTGAGGTGTCAGGAGGAATAGCTGTATCTGTGAACATTGAGCTCCCAGAGAAGGTTGTAGACTTGTGAGTAAATATTGTGTTGGTGGGCTCTGTTGCTGGAGTTGAATGTGTTGAAATTGGGCTCCTTTGGGAAGTTGTAGATTCCAGAGTGGACACGGTTTTCCATGATTCAGATGGTTGAGATTCATGTGTTGACACTGGGGTCCTTGAGTAAGGTGTAGATGCCTCATTTACAGCTGAGGTGTAGAAGGTCTCAGGAGGTACAGTTGTCTCTGTTGAAATGGAGGGGGATGTGAGGATAGTAGATTCCTGAGTGAAGACTCTTGGGGGTGTCTCAGTTGCTTGAGATGTTTGGGTAGAAATTGGGATGGATGGGGAGGTTGTAGAGTCCTGAGTAAGAGCTGAGGTGTAGGGGGTTTCAGGAGTTACAGCCGTTTCTGTGGAAATTGTGCTGGTTGTGGAGGTTGTAGATTCCTGAGTGAAGACTGTTGTTTGAGGGGTTGGAGTAGTGTGAGTTGCTTGTGACAGACTTGGGCTGCTCTGGGAAGCTGTAGATGACTCAGTGTGGACTGTGGTGTGAGTGATCTGAGGAGGTCCAGTGGTTTCTGTCAACATTGGGCTGCTAGAGAAGGTTGTGGGTTCCAGAGTGAAGTCGGTTGTTGGGAATGACTCTGTGGGTTGAGATCTCTGTGTTGAAATTGAGCTGCTCATGGAGGTTGTAGAGGCCTCAGTATGGACTGTGGTGGGGGAGCTCTCAGGAGGTACGACTGTTTCTGAAGAAACTGAGTTGGTTGCGAAGGTCGTAGACTCAAGAGTGAATACTACTGGGGATGTCTCAGTACCTTGAGTATCTTGTGTGGAAAACCGGCTGCCTGGGGTAGTTGTAGAGGCCTCAGATTGGGGTGTGATGTGGGTGACCACAGGAGAGACAGCAGTTTCTGGGGAAATAGAGCTGCTTGGAAAGGTTGTGGATTCCTGAGTGAAGACTGTTGCTTGAGAGGTGTCAGGGGCCTGAGTTGCTTGGGATATTGTAGATGCCTCAGTCAGGGATGAAGTGTGGGTGACATCAGGAGGTACAGAGGTTTCTGAGGAAATTGAGCTCCTTGGCGAGGTTGTAGATTCCTGCGTGAACTCTGTTTTGGAGGTTTCCGTTGGTTGAGATCCATGTGTTGCAATTGAGCTGCTTGGGGAGGTTGTAGAGGCCTCAGTTTGGACGGTGCTCGAGCTCTCAGGAGGTGCAGCACTCTCTGTTGACATTGAGGTGCTTAGTAAAGTTGAAGATTCCTGAGTGAAAGCTGTTTTTTGGGAAGTCTCAGTTGCTTGTGTAGAAATCAAGCTGTTCAAGGTGGTTGTGTAGGCCTCGGTCTGTCCTGTAGTGGGTAAGGTGACAGGAGGCACAGCTGTTTCTGTAGAATCTGAGCTGCTTTGAAAGGTTGTAGATTCCTGAGTGAAGGCTGTTGTTTCAGAGTTCTGAGGGCCTTGAGTTGCTTGTGTCGATGTTGGGATGCTTAGGGATGTGGTAGATGCCTCAGTCAGGGCTGACGTGTGGGTGACATCAGGAGGTACAGAAGTTCCTGATGAAATTAAGCTGCTTGGAGAGGTTGTAGATTCCTGAGTGAACTCTGTTTTGGAGGTTTCAGTGGGTTGAGTTGCATGTGCTGAAATTGAGATGCTCAGGGAGGTTGTAGGTGCCTCAGGTTGGACAGTACTGGGGGAACTCTCAGCAGGTACAGCTGTTTCTAGGGAAACTGAGCTGCTGGGGAAGGTTGCAGACCTCTGAGTAGATACAGTTTCCATAGAGTCTGTTGCCTGACTTGCATGGGTTGAAATCAGTTTGCTTGGGGATGTTGTAGATTCCTGAGTGAACACTGTTGTCTGAGAGGTCTCAAAAGCTTCAGTTGACTGTGTCAATGTTGGACTTCTTAGGGATGTTGTAGATGCCTCAGTCAGGGCTGAGGTGTGGGTGACATCAGGAGGTACAGTGGTTTCTGTGGAAACTGAACTGCTTGGCAAGTTTGTCGAATCCTGAGTGAAGGTTGTTGTTTGAGATGGCTCAGTTGTTTGAGTTGCTGTTGTTGAAATCATGCTTCTCTGGGAGGTTGTGTGTGTCCCGGTCTGTGCTGTCGTGAGTGAGGTGTCAGGAGGAATAGCTGTATCTGTGAACATTGAGCTCCCTGAGAAGGTTGTAGACTTGTGAGTAAATATTGTGTTGGTGGGCTCTGTTGCTGGAGTTGAATGTGTTGAAATTGGGCTCCTTTGGGAAGTTGTAGATTCCAGAGTGGACACGGTTTTCCATGATTCAGATGGTTGAGTTTCATGTGTTGACACTGGGGTCCTGGAGTATGCTGTAGATGCCTCATTTACAGCTGAGGTGTAGAAGGTCTCAGGAGGTACAGTTGTCTCTGTTGAAATGGAGGGGGATGTGAGGATAGTAGATTCCTGAGTGAAGACTCTTGGGGGTGTCTCAGTTGCTTGAGATGTTTGGGTAGAAATTGGGATGGATGGGGAGGTTGTAGAGTCCTGAGTAAGAGCTGAGGTGTAGGGGGTTTCAGGAGTTACAGCCGTTTCTGTGGAAATTGTGCTGGTTGTGGAGGTTGTAGATTCCTGAGTGAAGACTGTTGTTTGAGGGGTTGGAGTAGTGTGAGTTGCTTGTGACAGACTTGGGCTGCTCTGGGAAGCTGTAGATGACTCAGTGTGGACTGTGGTGTGAGTGATCTGAGGAGGTCCAGTGGTTTCTGTCAACATTGGGCTGCTAGAGAAGGTTGTGGGTTCCAGAGTGAAGTCGGTTGTTGGGAATGACTCTGTGGGTTGAGATCTCTGTGTTGAAATTGAGCTGCTCATGGAGGTTGTAGAGGCCTCAGTGTGGACTGTGGTGGGGGAGCTCTCAGGAGGTACGACTGTTTCTGAAGAAACTGAGTTGGTTGCGAAGGTCGTAGACTCAAGAGTGAATACTACTGGGGATGTCTCAGTACCTTGAGTATCTTGTGTGGAAAACCGGCTGCCTGGGGTAGTTGTAGAGGCCTCAGATTGGGGTGTGATGTGGGTGACCACAGGAGAGACAGCAGTTTCTGGGGAAATAGAGCTGCTTGGAAAGGTTGTGGATTCCTGAGTGAAGACTGTTGCTTGAGAGGTGTCAGGGGCCTGAGTTGCTTGGGATATTGTAGATGCCTCAGTCAGGGATGAAGTGTGGGTGACATCAGGAGGTACAGAGGTTTCTGAGGAAATTGAGCTCCTTGGCGAGGTTGTAGATTCCTGCGTGAACTCTGTTTTGGAGGTTTCCGTTGGTTGAGATCCATGTGTTGCAATTGAGCTGCTTGGGGAGGTTGTAGAGGCCTCAGTTTGGACGGTGCTCGAGCTCTCAGGAGGTGCAGCACTCTCTGTTGACATTGAGGTGCTTAGTAAAGTTGAAGATTCCTGAGTGAAAGCTGTTTTTTGGGAAGTCTCAGTTGCTTGTGTAGAAATCAAGCTGTTCAAGGTGGTTGTGTAGGCCTCGGTCTGTCCTGTAGTGGGTAAGGTGACAGGAGGCACAGCTGTTTCTGTAGAATCTGAGCTGCTTTGAAAGGTTGTAGATTCCTGAGTGAAGGCTGTTGTTTCAGAGTTCTGAGGGCCTTGAGTTGCTTGTGTCGATGTTGGGATGCTTAGGGATGTGGTAGATGCCTCAGTCAGGGCTGACGTGTGGGTGACATCAGGAGGTACAGAAGTTCCTGATGAAATTAAGCTGCTTGGAGAGGTTGTAGATTCCTGAGTGAACTCTGTTTTGGAGGTTTCAGTGGGTTGAGTTGCATGTGCTGAAATTGAGATGCTCAGGGAGGTTGTAGGTGCCTCAGGTTGGACAGTACTGGGGGAACTCTCAGCAGGTACAGCTGTTTCTAGGGAAACTGAGCTGCTGGGGAAGGTTGCAGACCTCTGAGTAGATACAGTTTCCATAGAGTCTGTTGCCTGACTTGCATGGGTTGAAATCAGTTTGCTTGGGGATGTTGTAGATTCCTGAGTGAACACTGTTGTCTGAGAGGTCTCAAAAGCTTCAGTTGACTGTGTCAATGTTGGACTTCTTAGGGATGTTGTAGATGCCTCAGTCAGGGCTGAGGTGTGGGTGACATCAGGAGGTACAGTGGTTTCTGTGGAAACTGAACTGCTTGGCAAGTTTGTCGAATCCTGAGTGAAGGTTGTTGTTTGAGATGGCTCAGTTGTTTGAGTTGCTGTTGTTGAAATCATGCTTCTCTGGGAGGTTGTGTGTGTCCCGGTCTGTGCTGTCGTGAGTGAGGTGTCAGGAGGAATAGCTGTATCTGTGAACATTGAGCTCCCTGAGAAGGTTGTAGACTTGTGAGTAAATATTGTGTTGGTGGGCTCTGTTGCTGGAGTTGAATGTGTTGAAATTGGGCTCCTTTGGGAAGTTGTAGATTCCAGAGTGGACACGGTTTTCCATGATTCAGATGGTTGAGTTTCATGTGTTGACACTGGGGTCCTGGAGTATGCTGTAGATGCCTCATTTACAGCTGAGGTGTAGAAGGTCTCAGGAGGTACAGTTGTCTCTGTTGAAATGGAGGGGGATGTGAGGATAGTAGATTCCTGAGTGAAGACTCTTGGGGGTGTCTCAGTTGCTTGAGATGTTTGGGTAGAAATTGGGATGGATGGGGAGGTTGTAGAGTCCTGAGTAAGAGCTGAGGTGTAGGGGGTTTCAGGAGTTACAGCCGTTTCTGTGGAAATTGTGCTGGTTGTGGAGGTTGTAGATTCCTGAGTGAAGACTGTTGTTTGAGGGGTTGGAGTAGTGTGAGTTGCTTGTGACAGACTTGGGCTGCTCTGGGAAGCTGTAGATGACTCAGTGTGGACTGTGGTGTGAGTGATCTGAGGAGGTCCAGTGGTTTCTGTCAACATTGGGCTGCTAGAGAAGGTTGTGGGTTCCAGAGTGAAGTCGGTTGTTGGGAATGACTCTGTGGGTTGAGATCTCTGTGTTGAAATTGAGCTGCTCATGGAGGTTGTAGAGGCCTCAGTATGGACTGTGGTGGGGGAGCTCTCAGGAGGTACGACTGTTTCTGAAGAAACTGAGTTGGTTGCGAAGGTCGTAGACTCAAGAGTGAATACTACTGGGGATGTCTCAGTACCTTGAGTATCTTGTGTGGAAATCCGGCTGCCTGGGGTAGTTGTAGAGGCCTCAGATTGGGGTGTGATGTGGGTGACCACAGGAGAGACAGCAGTTTCTGGGGAAATAGAGCTGCTTGGAAAGGTTGTGGATTCCTGAGTGAAGACTGTTGCTTGAGAGGTGTCAGGGGCCTGAGTTGCTTGGGATATTGTAGATGCCTCAGTCAGGGATGAAGTGTGGGTGACATCAGGAGGTACAGAGGTTTCTGAGGAAATTGAGCTCCTTGGCGAGGTTGTAGATTCCTGCGTGAACTCTGTTTTGGAGGTTTCCGTTGGTTGAGATCCATGTGTTGCAATTGAGCTGCTTGGGGAGGTTGTAGAGGCCTCAGTTTGGACGGTGCTCGAGCTCTCAGGAGGTGCAGCACTCTCTGTTGACATTGAGGTGCTTAGTAAAGTTGAAGATTCCTGAGTGAAAGCTGTTTTTTGGGAAGTCTCAGTTGCTTGTGTAGAAATCAAGCTGTTCAAGGTGGTTGTGTAGGCCTCGGTCTGTCCTGTAGTGGGTAAGGTGACAGGAGGCACAGCTGTTTCTGTAGAATCTGAGCTGCTTTGAAAGGTTGTAGATTCCTGAGTGAAGGCTGTTGTTTCAGAGTTCTGAGGGCCTTGAGTTGCTTGTGTCGATGTTGGGATGCTTAGGGATGTGGTAGATGCCTCAGTCAGGGCTGACGTGTGGGTGACATCAGGAGGTACAGAAGTTCCTGATGAAATTAAGCTGCTTGGAGAGGTTGTAGATTCCTGAGTGAACTCTGTTTTGGAGGTTTCAGTGGGTTGAGTTGCATGTGCTGAAATTGAGATGCTCAGGGAGGCTGTAGGTGCCTCAGGTTGGACAGTACTGGGGGAACTCTCAGCAGGTACAGCTGTTTCTAGGGAAACTGAGCTGCTGGGGAAGGTTGCAGACCTCTGAGTAGATACAGTTTCCATAGAGTCTGTTGCCTGACTTGCATGGGTTGAAATCAGTTTGCTTGGGGATGTTGTAGATTCCTGAGTGAACACTGTTGTCTGAGAGGTCTCAAAAGCTTCAGTTGACTGTGTCAATGTTGGACTTCTTAGGGATGTTGTAGATGCCTCAGTCAGGGCTGAGGTGTGGGTGACATCAGGAGGTACAGTGGTTTCTGTGGAAATTGAACTGCTTGGCAAGTTTGTCGAATCCTGAGTGAAGGTTGTTGTTTGAGATGGCTCAGTTGTTTGAGTTGCTGTTGTTGAAATCATGCTTCTCTGGGAGATTGTGTATGGCTCTGTCTGTGCTGTAGTGGGTGAGGTGTCAGGAGGAATAGCTGTATCTGTGAACATTGAGCTCCCTGAGAAGGTTGTAGACTTGTGAGTAAATATTGTGTTGGTGGGCTCTGTTGCTGGAGTTGAATGTGTTGAAATTGGGCTCCTTTGGGAAGTTGTAGATTCCAGAGTGGGCATGGTTTTCCATGATTCAGATGGTTGAGTTTCATGTGTTGACACTGGGGTCCTGGAGTAAGCTGTAGATGCCTCATTTACAGCTGAGGTGTAGAAGGTCTCAGGAGGTACAGTTGTCTCTGTTGAAATGGAGGGGGATGTGAGGATAGTAGATTCCTGAGTGAAGACTCTTGGGGGTGTCTCAGTTGCTTGAGATGTTTGGGTAGAAATTGGGATGGATGGGGAGGTTGTAGACTCCTGAGTAAGAGCTGAGGTGTAGGGGGTTTCAGGAGTTACAGCCGTTTCTGTGGAAATTGTGCTGGTTGTGGAGGTTGTAGATTCCTGAGTGAAGACTGTTGTTTGAGGGGTTGGAGTAGTGTGAGTTGCTTGTGACAGAATTGGGCTGCTCTGGGAGGCTGTAGATGACTCAGTGTGGACTGTGGTGTGAGTGATCTGAGGAGGTCCAGTGGTTTCTGTCAACATTGGGTTGCTAGAGAAGGTTGTGGGTTCCAGAGTGAAGTCTGTTGTTGGCAATGACTCTGTGGGTTGAGATCTCTGTGTTGAAATTGAGCTGCTCAGGGAGGTTGTAGAGGCCTCAGTTTGGACTGTGGTGGGGGAGCTCTCAGGAGGTACAGCACTTTCTCTTAAAGTTGAGGAGCTCTGGAAAGTTGTAGATTCCTGAGTTAAGGCTGTTTTGTTTGAAGTCTCAGTTGCTTGTGTTGAAATTGAGCTACTCAGGGAGTTTGTAGATGCTTCAGGTTGGACTGTGGTGTGGGAGCTCTCAGGAGGTACAGCTGTTTCTAGTGAAATTGAGGGGGTTGGGAAGATTGTAGATTCCTGAGT